GATAGAATGACATTTAAAATTATACTGGAAAACATCTGACCTCAAAATCTAAGAGAATTACTAGTAAGTTTAAGGAGAAAAAAAGAATATTACATAACATTGTGTCTACTGTGATATATTATAGAAAATTAATGATATCTCTTTTTTGCATTTGCTTAACTTACATTTACAAAATTTACTCTGCTTGGCTTCAGAAGCTATCCTATAATTAGAGACATGGTTTTTTAAAATGTAATATTCAAATTAAAACAACAAAAGTCCAAATTCAAGAATATAAGAGCTAATTCAGGCAAAAGCTTAAGGTACTTTTTCAGAATGAAAAGTATGGTATATTAAAAAGAAAACCTCACTTATTCATTGTGAATAAAGTTCACAGTTTTACCAGCTGTGAACACATGCCACATTGTATACATATAATCTCATATACCATTTATATTAGACCTGTCTGTAAGAGCTAAGGATCTGATATTGTCAAATCAAGGCACAAACTCTAATATCCAGGTTAGACACTGGCATTCCTGTTTTACAAACCCATGCTGCCCCCTTCTGGATACTTTGGGAAATAACGTGAACTTAAATGTTCAGTTAGATTGTGAAAGTGAAAAATAATCATTTTTTGAAAACTAATCTATTAAAGAACTTAGCCTACATGCTCACACAACGAAACATGTATGTTATTGGTGCTAACAATTTACTTTGAAACATTTTCCAAAAATTCTGTTCTGAATGAAGTTCTAGCAGCAGCAAAAAACTCTGATAATTCAATTATCCATGCAATGAGAGAAGAAAGTAAATATTAAATAAGCTTACTAAAAGCAAATAAAACATGATACTTAAAGAAGTTGTATTTTTTCTTCCCTTCCATACTCATTCTTCTCGCTCCCCAAAGCAAAGCCAAATCTATTTCGGTACTTACCTCTCCTTTGGTTTAACTTTATGCTTTCACTACCTATTCATATATCCAGAAATACGTAGCATAGCTTTGTCTGTTTTTAAAATTTAAACAACTGGTGTCATACTGTATCACACACACACACACATGTCCCACGGCAGAGGCCACACTTCTAAATGCAGCCACCCGCAGCCGAAATCGACCGAGGAGCCTGGCGAGCTCTGTGCAAAGGCATTACTGCAGCTCTTCAGCTAGTGACGACTATGCCATCGGGGCACTAGCGTTGTTTTTTAACTTCTGATTTTTTATCCTCTCAATTGTATCTACCTGGCTTATTAAGGAAAAAAAAATGTTTTAAAGCACTGCTGACTTCTAAAATTTTCCTTCTCCTAGTATTATTCCCCCCCCCCCAAAGTCTAGTTTCTTTCTCTGAAAACAAGCTATGTGAAACTACAATGTTCTTGGGTCTTGGAGTGGGGACTCCTTCACACTAGAAACTCCAGTAAACGGAAAATGATAAATAAGCTGGGCAGGTAAGGAAGCCGGGCGGGAAGGCGGGAGGGAAGAGATGTGGCCGTTCTCGTCTGAGACTACACAAGCCTAAAGCCAGAAGGGCTCCATTCCGCACCGAGGCAGCCTTACAATACCTGCCCTCCCTCTCCGGCTCGCTTCCGGGGACGTCCCCGGCAACTGGGGCGCTCATTTGGCCTTCAACCGCCTAGGGTTCAGATTTTGAAAGTTCACCCAAACCTGCCTTCGACTGCTATTGAAATCTAAAAACTATTCTATCTCTAACTACTGTGTTGCTTAAATTTATGAGTTACTTGAGTAACAATGAACTACAATGCTATAGTCCTGAAGTACTAAAACAAAGTACAGAAAATCTCTGAGGGATCCTAAGACACTGCACTCAGGGTTAAGAGAACCACATGGCTGGAGAACTGAAGGGAGGCTTGTTTTTCATTAATACCCTTTAATACCTTCCTTTTGCACTTTATACAATGCGCATCATTACTCACTTATAAAATATTTTTAAGAAACCACAGTAAATACTATTCCAAGTGCAGATGAAAATGTAGTAAGTCAGTTAAAATTTAGCAAGCCTATTTTTAAGAGATTTTTCTAAGAAGTCTTCTATGTGAGTATTTGAAATGGAAATCTAATTTAATAATAAAATTAGATATAAATCCTATTAAAACTGTCTAATAACTATCGTACTGAATAGTAATATATGAGGTCAAAACCTTTCATTTATAAACAATGAACCTGGAATAACAAAAATGGTATAGGACTTTATATATTTTATTTTACTATACTTTTATTCAAATACCGTTTAAGTAGTTTCATGTTACTTTTCTCTCACATGTACATGTATCTTTCACATAATGCATTTTCTTTTATCCAGAGCCTAAACCACCAAAAAGAAAAAAGCAACAACCTTAAACTAACTTTTTTTCTCTAATTTGACATGCTTAAGCAGAAATGGAAGAGGCAGATAACCTAATTTTAGAGATCTCAAAACCACCAGCTCCAGCGCCCGGTACAAAGTCAAACCTCGCAGGTCTGTTAGAGAAGCTCGCCTGTCCTCTCTGCCTGGCAGAGGGGATCTGTTTTTCCTCACCACCTGCCTAAACTGGGAGATAGACAGTGATTCTGCTTAGTGCTTTTTCTTAAGAACCTTCTGCACTTGGAAAACATGAAATATGACTATAAAATAAAAAACCAAAGATCACAACCTTGTACATTCTTATGATTTAAGTAATTTTTAAAACACAACTAACATTTGTTCTAAAACTTTTCATGAAAAAAAAATTGAAGTCAAAACCTAACTTCTGTCTGAATATACCTAAGATAAACACCAAATCCTATTCTAATAAAAAAGGCAGATGGCAAACTTTTCAGTATTTATCATTATGTTTGGTCAACTTTATAATCTTCCAACTATCAGAGATTACAACTTTAAAATAAAAATATTTTCTGCTAAAAAAAAGACACGGGATCAATTTATGAGGGGGGCAATTCAAAGTCAAGCATTAGGATCAATATATAATACGGGTAACTCTAAACTCAGCAAGAGTCATTTGCTACACATTTAGCAAATACCCAATTTTTTCTAGCTTTTCATTAATCAGTTAGGTTCTCTGATCTTAGCTGGTGTACCTAAAGCCACCAGTTAAATGAAAAGGTTATTAAGTAGGCAGTCCTTATTTACTGGTTAAATGATCACAAAGCAAAAAGCAACTTTCTTTGTCTTCACCAGTACTTTGGGAGGTCAATTATAAACAAGAAGATCTCTATTGTTAAGTGAGTTACAGGGCATGCACTACTTTCCAAGTACCTTGTCTGTGCCTCTCTTCTCGTTCCCCAGGCAACTGGCAGCACCACCAGCCACTCCGAGTCTAGCAGGGACCCTATTCTCTATGTCATTATGCGTGTGTCTATCAAGTAGTGTTTACTCACCAAAAATTATTTTTAAATGCGATTGGTCAAAAACATTTTATTAAATACCACTTAAAATTTTTTAAAAATTACCCAGAAAATGCTCTCATACTAACATATAAAATAAAATATGTATATGTTAATGTAATTCATACAGAAACCATGACCTCATATAAACTGCTCCAAGCAAACTTTTCCTTTAACTGTATACATAATCATATATATTAACATCATATTTCAGATGTTTTATTAACATTTTAAAAAGACATTCACATCAAAAATGGTTGTTTTAAACTTATACAAAATAATCTAAATAATAAATATCAGCATCAAAATATCAGGACACCAGAAATGCAGTCAGGGATTAAAAAGTCACATGTTTCTTTATGATGTATGACACTGTAAAATAAAGTTTCTGAGAGGATTGCAACAGTGCTATAACTTATAAGTGCAAAAGTGTTACCTATTTCACTAAAATATGACATAAAATTGGTTATTCAAATAAATACATGGGAATTTTTCACAGTGATAAAGATAAGAAACTAACCACCAATGTGGAAGAAAAGGAAAGGAAAAGACAGGAATAAAAAAGAAGGATGATTAAGACCCCGAATTGTCAAACACAGCAGAAAAAGAGAGAGAGACACTGGTATGAAGACGTTTTACAATGCCACTGATATCAAATCAAACAAAATCTAGCACTGACAGAACGAGACTGATAAAATACATTGTCAGGAAAATTAAATATGCAGAAAGGCCAAGAAACATTTCTTGGTATTTGAAATAAGTCATTGTGAAGCTGCATCAGATAAACAAGTAAAATATTTTTCAATTGAGTAAGACCGTAACTGGGACATCAAATAGATCATGGTAAGTGTGAAGAACGTGTGCAAGAACATGGCGTGTTTGTGTTTGTGTACGTGTGTGCATGCACGTGTGTGTTAGGAGATGGTGAATACGCACATGAAGGTGGCTAATCACACGGACAAGTTAATGATTAACTAACTATGGGTCTATTATTTATCAATCCTAAGTTATCAAGTCTCTATTTCTAAAATGGTTGGGTTTTCTATCTGATGTCATGGTTTAACTGACACACACATCACTACGAAAGCAATGTGCTTTCACAAAGAATGCACAAGATTTTCGAAAATCATCATCAGTTACTGATATACTTTCTTTTGTCACAATAATTATTTATATAAACAAGCCCTACTTACAAGTATTGATAAACATTTTTGCCTCTACCAAAGTGTACATTACTTGTCTTTTTGCTCAGATAGACAGGAATATAAGGAGACTGTAGAATGTCTTTGGGGATATTTAAATGGTTTTATATAGAAAATTGAATCTTCATCCATTAAACATTCTAAACTGCTACTATGTTTCAAGGACAAGCCATGCTATTTAGGAGCTAATCACAAGGAAGAACACTATGTGCATATTTTATTTCTATGTGCCCAACAGTAAATAATCATAACGTTGCCTAAACTTTATGTGTTACCATTACTTAGTTTTAAAATTAAAAGAGTTTTGTTAATTCTCTTGTCACATTTCCTTTAAGTGACTCTAGGCTCCACTTACATTAAACCTGATACCAACATAATTCCGCAGTCAATTATGTGAAATTTACTACCACAGTAAAATAATCTTTTTTTGATCAACTTACACTACAGTTTTCAGGTGGAACTAGGAGTTGAGTAATCTCGCCACCATGTACACAGAAGATATGTTTCATTTCTCCAGAAAATATGTCCCAAATTATGACCGAAAAATCCACACCTCCAGACACCAGGTATCTCTGATCATAGCGAGCCGAGACCTGATGCGGATACAGCAAACACGTGACTTTGTTCCGATGACCGCGGAGAGCTCTGTGAGGTGGCCAGCCTGTAAAGGAGGTTTTGGATTGAAAATGGGAAAATGAAAGTCTTACAAAGTTTCAACAAATCAAAGTAAACACGAATTGCCAAAACAGCTACAAATTTTATCAAAGAAAAGGCCTCTGATTTTTATCTTCTAAAACTGCTCTGTCCACTACAGTAGCTACCAGCCACGGGAGACCACTGAGCACTTAAAATGCAAGTAGTCCCGACTCACATGTGCTGTAAAGGTAAAATAGACATGAGATTTCAAAGCCTTAGAATAAAAAATACTGATGTTAAGTTATCTCATTGAACTGAAAATAGTTTCACTGTATTGGGCTAAATAAAATGTTATTAAAATTAATTTTACCTGCTTCATTTTTACTTTTTTATGTGGCCACTAGAAAATTACATACATTGTTATGTACATATATTTCCAGTGGACAGCACTGTTCTAAAAGATTACCAGTATTAATGACAATGATGGTAATTATTTAGTAAACCAGAGAGGTAACTATTATTGAATGGGACTAGTAATATACATCAAAGAGATAAAATTGGGTACTTCTTCATTCACAATCAAATGGTATTTATTCCAAGAATAGGCACTAAGTATTTTCTTATCTGCATATTAAACTCTATCAACTACCTAACACACTAACGACTACACTGATTCACTGTATTTGTAAGAACAAAGCATGCCAACACTGTTGGTATTACAGTTACAGAGTTCTCTAAACACTCTAGACATTGGAAGGTCTTCCACCTACCTCTTCGGAGCATGTGTTCCCCTTGTAGCAGCTGTACAATGGCTGTCTGTGTGGCAGGTACAATGACGATGCTTCCGTCTTCGCGGCCACAAACAAGTCGTCCATGTGCTGGTATGTACACACTTGCGGTTACTTTAAGAGGTACATTACTATTGGGAATCACACTCAGTTGATCTATAATTCCAGCAGGACAAGGGCTGAGCTTATCAAATGCCTCTTGCAAACTAACAGAAGTTGTTATTTCCAATCCTGTGGAGGTTTGGTTGTGTATTAAAAAAAAAACAAACATTGTGCATGTTAGGAAAAAAAATTAAAAATATTAAATAAATATGTTTTAGTTGATTTAGTAATATACCAAAGAATGATAACAGTTACTAACCACAATTCTAAGAAGAATATGACATTTCTTTTTCAGTGGTTAGTATTTAGGTTGTTAAATTAAAAGCATTAAGAATTAAGAAATTGCTGTACCTGATTTACTTTTACCCTCTTCACCTTCCTGTTTATCAGGTGTGTCTGAAATGTTCCAAATATTCAAACTTCCAGAGGAGTCTCCCTGAATTAACAGTTTATGGGAGTGTTCTCTGGCTCCGTAGAAGAACCGAGTAACAGGAGGACAAATTAGCAACTGAAAAAAAATTGTTCAAGTATCTTCAGCTCTCTTTTTAATCAACATATTTCACACATTAACATTTTTTCAGATAAGGATGGTAAATACTTTGCCTCAGTACCAAAGTAAAGAAAATGTTTATAGCACTAGTATTCAACAGTATTTTTTAAAGATTTTATTTATTTATTTTTAGAGAAAAGGGAAGGGAGGAAGAAAGAGCAGGAGAGAAACATCATTGTGTGGTTGCCTCTCGAGTGCCCTCTGCTGGGCACCTGGCCCACAACCCAGGCATGTGCCCTGACTGGGTATTGAACCAGCAACCCTCTGGTTTGTAGGCCAGTGCTCAATCTACTGAGCCACACCAGCCAGGACTCAACAATATTTTAATGTAATTTTGAAGCACTGATATAGATGTCAATTAATATTCAAATCCAGTATAACACAAAGAAATAAAAATTGTATTTATAATCTTTCCATAGAATTAGTATTTATATTCTCTTATTTGCTGCTTTATAAAAACTGATTAGTTGCCCTGGCCAGTGTGGATCAGTTGGTTGAAATGCCATCCCATAAACCAAAAGGTCATGGGTTAGATCCCTGGTCAGGCGTCTATGAGAGGTAACCAGTTGATGTTTCTCTCTCACATGATGCTTCTCTCCTGCTCTCTCTCTCCATTCCTTCCCCTCTCTCTAAAATTGGTGAGCATGTCCTTGGGTGAGGACTTAGAAAAAAATACTGATTAGTCACCACAACAATGCAATTTATTTAACTGTTATTAAATACCTAATACAAAGACATACCACTCTTTACCAAAAAGAACTGTCCACTCAAAAGGTCAAAAGGAATGACCTGGCTTACCCTAGTCTTTTGCCCATTCCTGATTAGTCACTAGAAATAGCAGCAAAATCAAAATACCAAGTTTGTGCAACTGGAGGATTTTTTAAAAGTGAGGATATTTTTCAGCTAATCATATAACATTTCACTTGGTCACATTTACATAATCAACTTGAACTGAATCCAATATGCTAGCTACCAGGAACAAAAACCATTCATTAGGGTTTCATGTGTACTTTCATTTTTAAAACAACTTAGTTTTCTGCTTCAGATCTTGTGCTTTCAGTGAGATCATTTATCTGAAAATTCTAAATAGTGGTAGAATCCTAAAATTAAATTTAGGGTATCAATTCACAGATACTTGAATATTAAAACATAGAATTCTATCCTGAAAAGCAGTAATAAATAGACTGCAGTTTTGACAATTACAGTTAACAAATAACCTAACTGCAATGTTTGGTATTGTTATCCTAAAAAGCACTAGCCTATATAAATACAAATATGTATATATATAAAAAATATATATAAATAGGATAATCAATTAGAGTTTTCTTAAATTCTGAAAATTACTGAAAGTTTTAATCGATAACATGCTAAACAAGGAGAAGTTGCTACAGCAACTGTAATAATATTTCATATTTCAATAAATGAGAATATTATAGCACATATATCTTAATTTAAAATGTATTGGGGAGTTGACATTTAAAGAAACATGAAATGTATTTATTTCGCTTTGTTTTGTGTATATTTTTTATAAAATTGTTACTGCTTAATTTTACTGGAAGTGATTGTCTTGGTTGGAGAGCAGTAAGTAGAAGTTTAAGTTAAGAAAATAAAGAATAGGTTATGGAAGATCTTAATTGTACATACATGTATAAATTCTGTATATTCAAAATATTCATGGTAAATAACAATTCCCTTCCCCCCATCACCTTCCCACATAAAGATGGAACAAAATTTTCAGAATGATAAAGCTCTGGAAATGCAGATGGAAAGGAAGCTTTTATTTCCAAAACCAAAGTTTCTTTCTTACTAGTAAAAACCCCTTACAAGAGTTGAACACTCAGTATGACGTGCTGTTGCTTTTCAACTTTAAATTGATATTAACTGCGCTTTAAGAAATCTTAATAAACTTTGATTTTAATAGAAAAAAATTTCCTTTATTCTTCATTTCTAAAGTCTAGTGATTTAAATCACTACACGATTTTTGGGAGGTACAGCAACGCCCTGTTCAAATAGTGGACTATTGTTAGTGAGCATTATTGTTACCACGGGATAATGCTTGCCTTCTACAGGGATGTTGCCTCTGTCACTGAATTTATAATTGCATGAAAGCATGAAATAAATATGCACCGTCAATATAAACTTTATCAGAAAGTCATTTCACTATATAATCAGCATTCGATGATTTGTATTCTCAGCGAATGGTGAATGCTGTATTATAGGCATAATATATGTGTAAGATGTGCAAACATTAAAATTGTGCTTATAATTGACTACGTCAAAGCGTTTTACAGTGTCTATCACAGTGCCTTGAACTGTAGTGAACCTTGCACATGATTAGCTACCAAAAGACATCAAAAAATATAGTTACGAAAAATTTTCAATGTAACTATCAATTATAAATGATACCTGAAGAATCTTACCTCTTTATCTGTTCGATCCAAGAGGCTATGTTGCACAGGAGGAATTAAATTTTCAACTGCTTTCCCTACATCACTGCGGAATGAATCACTAGCTGGAAGGCAACTGAAAATGAGAAAAATACAACATTCAGTTAAAATACTGACATTGCCTATTTTGTCAGGCCACAGATGAGGTTTTTGATATGAGCAAAAAAGTGGGTTTTTAATTATAGTTAATTTAGCATTAAATTAAATAATGAACATTATTACAATATCCTGTTTCAAGTGAAAATCCACCTAATTTTTGAAGTTAATCTGGAATTATCTAACTTAAGAAGCTCTGAGGTTTTCTTCTTTTTTACCTACACTGAATACTTATATGACACATGTTTTCATTATTTCTTGGTTATACCCCAAATTCAGAACCTATTACTTAGGATTCAAGCCTTATTATTCATTGAATACCTGGCAGGTAGTTTGTAAATATAACTTTGCCCATTCTCAGTCCAAATGATTACTTTATCTGCTGATACAAAGTCACCTCCCGTCCACGTCTGTCCATTTTCACTAGGACCTGAACACAGCAGGGAATAGTCTCCAGCATCATATACCTGCAAGGAATAAGAAGTTCACAATCTAGCCTGTTTCGGTGCCATTTAAATAAGATATAGCCGCATTCCAACTTAAAAGAAAAAAAAACAACTTCTAGAATACATGTAACCAACTCAGGCCTTTCAAGTTTGCTACCTCCGTTAAAGGCGTTTTGCCAATGGGCTCAGGGCATAGTGACCCTCAATAGGGAAAGACAAGTAGGGTCTCCACTGTGCGGTCAGAGAGCAAACCAGGACAGGTGGCGTGGGGCTGCTCCCCTATGCAGGGGACCCGCAGCCTGCCTTACCCAGAGGATCACTGTGACAGGGAACCTACCTCCAAAGGCATGGTTATGACTCCTGTTTCATTTCCATGGCCAGTAACATTTCTAACAATTAACTTTGACATCAGACTATCTCCTAATTAATAGGGGCATTACCTTACTTTACCTTTTTACATCAATGTTCCAAAACACTGTAAATAAAAAGGTAAGAGACAGCTTTATTATTTAATAATTTTCACATATAAAAGCCCTTATAATTTCATCAGCGACACAGGCCATTGACCTGCCAGGGCCCTCATCTCAGACGACCCTGGGAATCACTGCAGGAGGTGAGCAGACAGGTGCTGCTACCCCCTCTGACTGGCAGGACACCGATGCAAGTGAGGGTTACATCACCTGCCCAAGGTCATGTGTCTAGTAAGTGCTAGGACGAGGACTACAACCCTGGTCTTATAATTCCCAGCAGAATTTTCCTTTCTACCACTTTTAATATTTGAAAAAAGCACATTCTGTATTCCTAGAAAATTTCCCCAGGAGGAATGAGTAATTCAATAGCTCAGAGTTTTTACTTTATTTTTCTTTAAAGAAAAAAAAAAATTGTATTACTGTGCAAAGCCTTGAAATTAGAACAAATCCTAGCTGAATTCATGACTTGCTATAGTATCAATAGTTATCAGTATATAACATTGGCACTACCAAGAAAAAGTCCAAGAAAGGATAACAAAGGAAGACCACCCTTCTGCCCCATTATCTAATAAAGCAAATGATAACGCTAGAGAGGATAAAACATTATAGTATTAGTATGTGACTACAGAGACAAATCAAGTCAGGGAACAAATTCAATATAGGAGAAAAGTATACTACAGAGGCACAAGAGAAAAATGAATTATTAACAAATGACACCAGGAACTTGGGGGGCGGTTCCATCTGGAATAAAAGTAAAATAGGATTTATACCTCACAATTTATACAAAATTAATTCCGAATTAAAGATTCAGAGGTATATAAGGTAAAATCATATAAATATTAGAAAAAAAAGATTTAAAAAAATCCCAGCTTGTGGTGAGCCCTTTAGAACATGTCACAAACTATTTTACAGACCATATAAGAGAAGCTGATCATTGAACCATATTAAAATTGAAAACTTCTTTATGGCAATAAATATACCAAAAAAAGTCCTCCTGGTGGGTTGCAGTTTCACTTCAGCGCTGCTACGTGTGCATTTCTCTGACGATGAGCGAAGCTGAGCACCTTTCTATACTCATTGGCCAGTTGGTTTTCCTCTTATGAAATGTCTTTATCCATTTTCTTACTCAGCTGTATTTTTTCACTTGATTTGAGGGAGTTGGTTTTTTATAAATAATAGTCCAGTCCATCATATGTATATATTGTAACTATTTTATCTCGCTCTGTGGGTTGGCTTTTCATTCTTATGTATGCATTTAAGAAAAGGCTGTTCTAACATGATTATAAAATGCTTATAGTGAATACACACACACCATAAAAACTGGTATTAGCTATTACCTCTGGGAGAGGAAGGGAAGTACCAGGGGAAAAGTGTGTATTTTTCACTGTATCCTCCCCTGCACTGTTTTTTATTACCATTTGCATGAGTTTTGAATTTTAAGACAAAGGAAGGGCTGCATGTAGCTCAGCATACACCAAGCAGCTGCCAGCTCTTCCTCTGCAGCCTTATTCTGAGACACTGGTAATGGCAGGAGGAGGGCAAGATGCTGCCGCCCTCGTCAGTCCCTTTGCCACACAGCCTTTCCCCTTTAAGGCAGGAGAGCCTGGCAGCAATGGCAGTTGTTGCGGTCAGGCTACCTGAACCGCAACCCAGCGACTCCACTGCCACCTGAGAGCTCAGTCACGTGATATATCCTCCCCGATGCCTCAGTTGCCTCTTCGGAAGAACAGGGAAAGCGACAATCCCTCCCGTGGCGGGCAGCCTCCAGGGCTGCCTCCCTCATCCCCGCCGGCTGTCACACCCCTGGTGGGCGCTGACTTGGTGCCTGCTCCAAGACAGCTGCCCGTGGCAGAGTGAGGAGTCCTCAGTTCCAAGGGAGGTGGGTCTTGGCTGCACATTCTCTTATGTGGCCCCCTCTGAGGGAAGAGAGCTCCCACGCTGTGACCTGTCCTGGGGAGAAGCTCGCACGGCAAGGAACTGATATCCGGCCCACAGTCAGGAGGCCCCGCGGCCTGCGCAGCGCCGTGTGAGCCAGCTGCGCAGCAGACCCTCCGGGGGGCCTCGTGATGGGACAGCAGTCCCGGCCGGCGCCAGGCCGCAGCCTGAGCCAGGCCCCCAGCTGAGCTGTGCCTGGACCCTGACCCGCAGGTCGGGCGGTGACACGTGCATTAGATGGGAGATGGTATGTGTCCGGGGCTTAAACGGCTGTTTTGGAGTAATTTTTGTTATGTGGCATCCGATAACAAATACACCTCCCCTCTGGGTTGTAAGAATTAAAATAAATAATATGTGGAAAGCTCTAATACAAGAGGCCAAAGTACGCTGACTCTTTTTCTATTATAAAAATATTAAAGTTTGGTAATGTGGAAATAATATGCTCCCTCATTAGCTCTGAGGTGATGGAGGAAGACCTCCGTGACACCGAGCAGCCGGACCAGAATGGCGGCGGGCAGTAACGGCAGCCGACAGAGACGTGCCCACCTGCCGGAGACTCGCTACCGCGGCTGTCATACTGACAAGGCAGTGACTGCGGCAGCAGCGATGGCAGAATTGGAAAACAGAACAATAACCATCAACTGAACCATTCTATGAACAAACAAAAAAGGCAGTAACAGATGGCCAAATCCCAACACCTCAAAATATGATAGCAGAGTCACATATGAATAGCAAATGGTTAAAATAGTCTTGCACCAAGCTTAGCCTTACGATTATCTTTGAAAGTCTGATAAACCAACATCTGGGCCTCACAGACCAGGGTGAACCAACATCTTGAAGGGAAAAAAATAAGCTTGTTACTTATGTTATTATCTTACCCTCCAATATTTGGAGCACACAACCAAAAGGGACCTTTGTGTGAATGCACAAAAAGAGATGCTTTGGCAATTCTGACAATAAATTGGCTTGGATTCCTCCTCAAATATTGGCTCGGTATCCTGAAAAGAGAAAGATTTGCAAAGTTTTAGGAATGGCTTGGTTGTCAATGAAAATGATCACACAAGGATAAAGAACCAAGGCAGTAAAATGCAATATAAACACATTATAAAAACATCTGCGCATGGCACCTTCGCCACAATGCTAGTGGAGATTAAAACACAGATGCGAATCAGCGTGCCATCACTCCGGCTAGAACAGGCGATGGAAGTTTTGAGTCAACGCTAAATTTTGGAGCTACAGGTATGTGCCTTTAAGTTTAAAACAGCTGATCAATTCATCTAGTTTCTCCCAGATTCAATGTCTAAAAAGTCCCTAGCTGAAGAGATTAACACCAATATTGTCTGAAAACTGATCCGCCTTTCTTATTACGAAGTGACAAGGAATTCAAGCCCAAAGAACAGAGAGAGAGGGCTAAAATTGGCTTTATATACTTTTTGTGTTGGTCAGCTTTATTTTTTTCCCCTAGAGCAAACTACTTTTCAATTTTTAACTTAAACAGAAGCCACTGAGAAAGATCCTACCTCTTTTATCTATTTCTCTACTTCCTATCCTGCAATAAGTCTCTCCATGTCTATCCTTGATACAGCCAATGCTAACTATCAAAAATGAAAAAATCAATCCACTTACAGAGACAGCATCTAGGGGGTCTTCTCTACTATGTCAGTAAGACTATTTAAAAAATTAGCTTTTCCCTTCCCGTTTAAGAAAAGAAGCCACATACCATTACTACAATTTAAGACTTCATAAGGAAGACATACAAATTAGTTCCAGTCTCATTTGTCTTACCTGCAGGCCACTTATTTCAGAGGTGACAATCCACACCTTCAAGATGCCTGTCACTGAGAGGGCTACCACCGTGTCCTCTAAGCCAGGAAGGAACAAAACGCCAAGGTTACAAATACAGTACAATAATAACATGGAACCTGGTTTGCTTTAATTAAATAACAGTATGTTTTATAATTGTCATAAAACTGTAATTCCATATTTCATAAAGTAACAGAAACCAAATTTTGAGACAAAATAGACATGACCAAAATTTTGGAATTCAAGGAAAAGCAGTTCCTAGCTACTTGCAATTATTTTTTATTTGTAATCACATTTTTAATAATTTCAAGAGTTCTTGATCACTATGTTAACAAAGAACTTTCGTTTTCAAAATTCGTAACTTTTAAGTACTTGTCATGGAGGAGCAGACTCACTTTATTTCTTCAAGGCACTTGTTCACCCACTTTCCCACCTGGCTTGCCTGCCTTCTAGCCATTTTATTGTACAACACACCCTCCATAGATTAGGAGCAAGAGAAAGACATGATAGAAAACCTAAACTCACGAGCTTTGGGTGAGGGTGCAGTCAAACATGCCAGGAACTTTCATTAAATGTAGCTGTGCATAATCCCCTTACTTTTCATTATCTCCACATAAAATGGAAACACTTTCTATGCCTCTTAAGCAAGTGACAAAACCAGGCCCAAAAAATGCACAGGTGAAACTACGGTTCCTCCCACCATTCCTGCCAGGGGTTAAGATCTTCATCTTCCCTTTCAGAAAATCACCCACACCCTGATATGTGAAAAGCTAGTGACTATTCCATGGAATGGAAATCATCTAACACATTAAATCTTAATTCAGTCAAAAATGTTTTTTGTGAAGGTAGAAGCAGACCATAAGTTATTAGCTATTTCTTAAATAAAAGAATACAACCAAATATATTAATGTGTGGTACATTATGTAGCATTACCATTACATTACATTAACCATTAAGTCATGGTGCCGAAAAGTACCGGGCACTGCACACTGACCTTGTGTTCGGTGGGATCGAATGATACTCATGGAGCTAATCCAGTCTGGAGATATCTTTGATACTAAGGAGTACAACACCTCAAGGCTGGTGGCATCCACAACAAGGATTTCAGGATAATGGCCATGGCACAAAAGCCTTCCTTCTCTCTGATTTCCAACAGAGAACTGATAGAACTATAAGGAAAAAGACTGTAAATGTCCTTTACTTAAGATAATTGATTCACATGCATTCGTCAAACTTATTATGAGGCTCGATTTTTTAGTAATCCTTCCATACGTTACCATATACTACATGTCTATGTACACACATATACACATCAAGTAACATGAATATTTCAAAATATGTAACAAATATTATTCTTTTCCTAACATCTTATCCTCCCTTTTGAATTACTTTGGAAAATTCATCATAATTCCTTTTCATCCTCCTGCAGCATTGAAAACAAGAAGGTTGAATGAATTAATAAAATACCTAAATAAAAATCAGATTCACAAAGCAAAGGGGAAGCTCAGAAGGGTCACAAAATAATATGAATTTTAGATGAATGGGAATAAGTAGGCATAGGATTATAATAACTGGTTATAACCAAACAAAATTCAGAAGGTGGTCAAACATTATAATCAGAAGCAAATTCTGATTAATCTAAGTGTGCTATTTGAGACTAGAGTATGAGATGACTTGGTTAACGATTCTCACTGAACACTTTTACAGTTTGTGGGAGAAAAATGCAAGAACTAATACAATCACAATCGACATGCTACTCATGCCAAAGGATAAGGACAAGATCGGTTCCCATGAACCAAAGAGCAGAGGAAGAATAACCATCAAAACAAGGCAAATATCTTAACAAAAGACCTCAGCTTCAAAAAACCATCACTCTCTTTAAAATGATTCCGCTATAGGATTTTTAGAAGGTAACGATGGCTGCCTCCAGACTACTACCTCCCAAGGATTGGACTGCATAAGGATCCCGTGAGGGCGAGCCAGAAGGCAATGCTGTAACCATCCCACAACTGGGGACATTACTAAGAAACCCCCATCCATCTGCTCCCACCCCCATTAGACCTGTTCTCAGAGCCCAACACTGCCTGCGAAGAAATACGATCTTTTCTCAACCATGGAGTACCCTGTTGAAGGAGGGCAACTGCTTAAACATAAACATTGACCAGATCATGGAGCATATTAAGTAAGTGCAAAGTGACGCCCCTAAAACATTGAGAGAGGATGTAATAAAATGCAGACTACGCAGGAGGCAAATCTAGACCTCAGAAGTTGATTCAAAAAACACAACACACAACCTGGAGGGCCCAGGGACTGCCAGACACTGACATAGAATAATGTGACCATAGGTAACCTTGCCCACATAAGGGGAGGATGTGTCAAGGAGCAAAGGAGGGTGCAGGGAAGCAAACTTTGTCATTGTTCATCCAACACCAGCCAGGAGAGACATGTGCACTGTAGTCACCAGGAAGAGGTCTCTGCTGAGGGCAGGGGTATTTTATCAGACCTGCCAGATTAAATGTCTGCCGCCTTTGGCTTTGAAGTCAAACTCCCAAACAATCTTTTGAACACTAATTTGGCTTCATAGACACTTTGATACTGGCCAAGAAAGTGTCCTGAATGGAGAAACGAGTTTTCCAAATATTGAAAATGGATGCTCATGTGATAATCTCATACACTGGCATTTCCTTGTGACTTCAGGAAGTGCCAGTCACCAAGGTTTTCTGTTCCTACTTACATAAAAACAACACATTCCTGGACCTGCGAGGGTGAAGATCGCACAGGAGACAATTGTCATGCACTAGTGAACCTACAAAAAGCATCTTCTCCTGAGAAATGGCTGCCAATTTAAATACAGAAGGCCCACCACAGGATCTGATAAAGAGTGGGCACTGAGAAAATGCTGAATAAATAAAGACAATTCTTCCCAAAATGCAAACCAAAAATTTTTAAATCATAAAATTATGCTACAGTCAAATCCTTCTATCCAATGAGTTCCAGATATTTACATATAATTTTTCTTTTTCTTTTTTTTAAAGATTTTATTTATTTGTTTTTAGAGAGAGGGGAAGGGAGAGAGAAAGAGAGGAGAGAAACATCAATGTTTGGTGGCTTCTTGTGAGCGCCCAACTAGGGACCTAGCCTGCAACTCAGGCATGTGCCCTGACTGGGAATCGAACCAGCAATCTTTCAGTTCACAGGCTGGCACTCAATGGACTGAGCCACACCGGCCAGGGCTACATATAATTTTTCAATTAAAGTAACCTTTAAAGTCAATGACTCTCCATCATTTTATTACCCCTTCTCTCTCTATAAACTTTGATGGTTCTTCATATATGACAGAAAATAAATAATAAACACCTTTTAAATAAAAAGCATACATCCTAACAGCATTGAAAAAGAAAAGTTTTGAAGGCCTTTGTCTTTATCATGCTCATCACCACCTCCCCCATGACCATTTTCCACTGCTTTTCTAATCTGGGTTGGCACAGAAGGTTCTTCCTGCAACAAACGACTGTACCGGTTTGTTTTAAGGGAGGCAGTAAGATTTAACAGAAAGAACAAAGTCCCTCAAGTCAGATAAACCTGACTTGGCATCTAGCACCAGGAATGACTCACTGTAAGACCGGGGCAAGTCATTTAATCAGTCTGGGTACGTTTCCTTATATGTAAAATGATATACTCCTATTTAATTTGAAAGGATGTGGGAAGGACTAAGTGAAACACCATACAGGAAATGCTTATAAGATATTTGCTCAATAAATGTCAGTTCTCTTCTCTTCCCTCTCCTTCCCCAGTGAGAACATAAATCATTTTTTTATATACTTGTAATGTTCCCTACACTCAACACAGTAAATGATGAGTGAATAGAAGCACAAAGAACCTGACAATTACAAAAGAGTAAGAAAGAATACAAGGCATGCAAGTCAGAAACTCTAAATTCTGGTGTAAATTCCTGTGTACACCAGCCATATGAAATGGTTGTTTATTCTACAGAGCTAGAAAGTCAACTACACAACTACACAAACACTGAAAAGGATATGACCCGTAAAGTGGGTCAGTTTGTGTCAAGCATGAATAGAACCATAAAGGCTTCAGCAAGAAAGAATTCCCTTGCCTAGGATCTAGACGACTTACCCAGCTGGCTCTGCCTTGGGTCACAGGAGAGCTGGACAGAGCGGCGCAGCGGTGGCGTTCCGCTTACTTTACATCTTTCCCCTTCAGTCTCCTCTACCGTACCTCCCCCTCATACCCCACTGTACCGTCGGACGAGGAACACTTTTACTACTTTAATTTCAGTCTTCCTGTCAGCTCCACCCATTTTTTTACATAAAAATATAGCTCAATGTTTAAAAAACATTTTTTAATTGAATACCTGTAATAACTGTGCAGCCTTGGGCAGTGGCAGAAATAGACACTCACCTGTATGCCAGTATGTGTGCAGGCTAATTTTGTAAATTCAATGCATCTGCCATCACTCACATCCCAGAGACACATCTCTCTACAAAGCAAAATAAATTGGTTTTTTAAAAGCACTGTTTAACTCTGTCACAGTGGTGTAAGAGTGATCTTCCATTAAAACCTGTATACCTCAGAAAAAGCAGTGCACTCGCTGCTGCTATTCATCAAAAATCCTGGCCCTCCCACTCGCTGTCCCAACCTCCTCCCCACCCTGCCCACCCCTGCCTTGATCCACACTGGTGCTGAGCACATGGTGAAACTGCACTGCCAGCTCCCCCTGGGATGGCGGAGCACTGTGCCTAGTTCCGGCCAGAACTGATGCCGGACCCTCCGGAACTGTCTCTCGACTCTGCCTTCATCCCAGACACTGGCTGACTGAGGTGGCGGTTGCTCCCTCAACCTCAATCTCAAAGTCAGGACAATAACAAAGCACAGCAGGGCCCCATGGGGTACATTGGCGGGGGGTGGGGGGGGGGGGGGGGCAAATGCCAAAAACAGGGAATAAACTTCTGATTTATAGCGCTGCAGTAGTCATCAACATAGCTAGAAAATTTAGCACTGCAAAAAACGAATAAAAAATAGAGTTAAAGTTCCAAACATTTTTAAATTAAATATAATATTCCAGTTTTGATTCTGTGTTTATTGCAGTAGTTTCATTGAATGTATGCAGACAGCAAAGCTTATATGCCAAACTACGGACACAGTATTCGAAACCAGAAATGCCAATGTCTTCCTTCTCTTTTAAAAAAATAAACTTAAATGCCATTTCCTATATCTCACATGGTATGAAACAATTTTTCAAGAAAAGTTCAATCTGTTTAGACGATGCATTCTAATGTGAGTCATCCTTGAATTGACCAAAAGGTCCTGGATTTTTACCTGATGCAGCCTCTTCTTGTTCCAAATAGTTACATGAGGTTCTTTTCAAATTCATAAAATTATGGGGAGGGTGAAAGAGACAACTTAAATAATTCTCTTCCAGCTCCCCAATTCTCTTCAATTACATATCCTGTAAATATACAGTTTTCTAAGCACCAAAAAAGTTTTTAAACTTCCGTACACTCCGGACCGTACAACTACTGTCTTACGATCTTTCTCCAAAAACAAGTTACATTCTGAGGTTTAGGAATATATGTGGTACACTAGTGTATTAATACACATCAATATAACTATATGATCTTTTATATGGCTTCATTTCGCAGATTTATGCTAGCCTAGCATCATCAGGTTTTTAAAAATTCTCAAAGTTGTCTGCCAACTCAGTAACAGTGCTGTGGGGATTAAGGCTCAGCTCCACTGTTTATGGTATTCTTAGTTTCTCAAAAGCAAAGTAAAAACACAATAAATTATAACAAAAGCATTATACAAATCATTAATAAAGATGAAATGCACATTTTTAAAACCACATTTCCAAATATCTTTAAACAACTCAAGAATTTAAGATACAAAAGAAAAAACACTTCTTTGCTCACTAATTCACTGGTACTATCTGCAATAAAGACTTATGAGGAAATAGTAAATGAGAAAATACTTACCCACTTGCAGATGCACTCACAATATATTGTTTATCACTAGAAGCACATGCTTTAGACAAACAGGTGATTGAAGCCGTATGACCAAATAACAGTGCTCGAGGATTAACCTAGAAACACACAAATATGTTGATATGAGGACCAAATTTTTAAAAATTAATCGTTTTTAGGGATCTAGTTAAATAGTTGTATTAAGATATAGATTTAAGAAGAATTGCTCCGAATATCAAAAACTAAGAAGAACAAAAGAGTGACTCCCCCCTATTTAATGTTCCCAATCACCCTGCCAAGTAGCTCTGAGCCTGCAGTTGGAACACGCAGAGGGGACATTACTTGCCTAGTACCGCAGGCAGAGGAATGGAGGCAGGATTCACACCAGGGTGGTAGGTCTAAGCTAGAGTACACCGAGAAACCAGGTTAAGAATGTGAATTAGCATGTAAAATAATTTAACCTCACTTATTTTTTAAATAATAGATTCACTGATCCAAAAGCACATTTAGAGGATCTAGAATCACATCCCCAAATACAAAAAAATAAATAAAAAAATAAAGGACAGGCACCCTCCCAAACGCTGATATGAACACTAACTGCCGGGAACTAAGAGTGACCTTCACAGACTAATGATCTGGTGACACAGTGCCTTACAGAGAGAACGGCCCAAAGTCACACAACGACACAGATTGTCCACTATTCTAAAGCAGTCTGACAATCAGCTCCCAAATTTATCCATTTTGTACCAAACTGCAGGCTATTACTTTGGGTTACTTCAGGGCCTTATGTTATTTTGGGGTGGATTTTTTAAATTAAATATTTAATACATACAAATACTACTTATAACATGTAAGACATAAAGAATGTACTGAATAGCCATATATTCAAGATCTAATTAAAAAACAGAATATGATTAATACCTTTAAAGCCTATTTGCACCATTAATGGTGTCCATCCATGTTTTTGCAATGGCATCAAAGAATAAAATATAGTATTTATGAAAAAAAATTTAACCAATGAGGTGAAAGATCTGTATAGAGAAAATGGTAAGACAATCATGAAAGAAATGGAAGAAGACTAGTAAGTGGAAAGATAGCCCAAGTTCTTGGGTTGGAAGAATTAACATTGTTAAAATGTCCATCTTACCCAAAGCCATCTATACATTCAATGCTATCCTATCAAAATTCCAATGGCATTTTTCACAAAATAGTAAAAAATTTCCTAAACTTTCACCATATTGCATAAAAATTTATGTCATAGTTATTAACTAAACATTTCACATATAATCAGTACAAAGAAATACCATAAAATTGTGACATTTCTTTATCAAGTCTTTATCAAGTTATCAGTGGCAATACAAGATGATCAGGATAAAAGGTTGTGGCGTGTCAGTTCTTAAGAAAGAGTAAACAGAGGCACCTACATTCCGACCTGGGGCCTTGGGCCCGGCTAGTTCCTCAGTCGGCCGTGGCTCAGCACGCCTCTTCTTTCAATCCCCTTTAGCTACCTTTTTTCCTTTCTACTACTGAGATGCTACAATTAGCATTTATTAAATAAACCCTTTTTATGTGCAAGCAATGATACAGCTATTTAATGCGCATCCTCCATAGAATCCTTACCACAACCTTATATGGCAGGCCATATTTTAGACAGGGCAAAAACAAACAAACAAATGTGGTGAGACTTCAGCACAAAATCGGTTAATTGCCCAAAGTCACACAATTACATACTAGAGTAGCCAAGACTCAGGCCACTCGCTTGCTTTCAAAGGCTAAGAACCCACCATAACATTTTACTTCTTTCATCGATGCCGTGGATTACACGGCTCTTGGCACAGGCCCGCTTCCCGCCTAGAAGGAAAGCTTCATGAAAATAGGAACCAGTCTCATAAATATCCAGTGACTCTACAGACAGTGATGCTTTACAAATTCTGCATATCAAAAACAATATCTATCTCAACAGGTTTCCTCCCTTACTCTTACCATCTCTCTAGGTACTCACTACACTACTGCTTCTACAGTTTCTCTCAGACATTTTATTGCCACCACGTTAGGCCAGGGTGCCATTTTCTCAGGTAAATGGAGACCAAGACAATGGATGACAAAATTCTAGCTCCAGTTTTTTATCCTTTCCTAGCAAAAGAAGAAGAAAAGAGACCACAACTTTTAAAGAAGGCATTTTGTGCCTTCCTCCTGAATGCTGCATTTCTTCTTATTGATCCCTAATAGTTGGCATAAATAGTTGCTAGAAAGTATAATACTTAAAAAGACCCTCCATATATATCAAAAGGCAATAGCCAAGCCACCTTTTATTTAGCCTTCTTTTCCCCCTGGATATAAAGTCCAATTCCTTGAATATCTATCAAGAGATATATTTCTCTCCTAGCTGCCTCTCCCTGCCCTAACCATTTCTCACATCCCCCTCAGTCACATTTATCCCTCCTACTTGAACTGAAATAAACATAACATTCTAGTGAAATCCATGCAGTAAAAGAATTGTTTCTGAAATCTTACAAGTTAAATCTTAACTGCTTATAATCATTCCAGTAAAACATGGTGTCACTTTTTTCTCATCACTGCATTGCTGCTTCATATTTAGTTGGCTATCAGTCTTGAAGGCAGAGCACATTCTACAACACTCATTTCCAGCTCCTTTGCAATGTATTAGCCTGGCCTGCCTTTACATGCTGTCAAAGTGCGTGGGTCAGTTTTCCAGTTGGCAATTTCATACCGAGGTGTGTACCTAAGAGCAATGCAAACATGTCCACACACTTGTACACAAATGTTCACAGCAGCATTCTTAAGCATGGCCAAAGAAGGAACCACCACATGTCTACCAACTGATAAAAAGACAAATAAATGTGGTTTACCCATACAATGGCATATATTTGGCAATGAAAAGAAATTAAGTATTGATACATGCTACAACATGGATAAACCTTGAAAAAATTATGCTAAGTGAAAAAAGCTAGTCACAAAAAACTCCACATATTACATAATTCCATTTATATGAAATGTCCAGAATAGGCAAACCTACTGAGATAAAACATAGATGAGGGGTTGCCAAGGGGGAATGGATTCTTGAAAATAACAGCTAAAGAGTACACAGTTTGTTTCTGAGATAATTAAAATGTTCTAAAATTGATTACGGTAATGGGTGTACAACTCTGTGAACATATTAAAAATCATTAAATTGTACGTGTTGAATGACTGAATTGTGTGGTGTAAATGTTAACTCAATAAGGCTGTTACCAAAAAAAAGGTACTTAAAAAGTCAACTTTCTGGCCACTACATTCCATGCCACCTATCACCACCCTATTTTCTGGTCCCTTTACAGAAAAATTCCTCCTGGCAGTTGTCAGAGAAGGGAGGTTAAAAATATGGAAAAAGAGAAAAGTAGAATAAACCGTGCACTTTTAAGAAAGACGAACCGGAGGTACTGGAGGCAGCCAGTGAGCTCTGCGTGAGTGTGTGTGAGACTGAGTGTGAGCGTGCCCCCAGCTCCTATTTTCCCAGCCTGTCCACTGAGGGGTCGTAGGAGCAGAGTGCACTGAGCGCTCATATCCGTAGTAATAAAGAACGGTGATAAATACATAATGATTTTTAAAATAAACACAACAAAGTGTACACCTTATTAAGAGTTTTGCTCTAAAGAAATTCATCTTAGAATCTAAAGAAATGCTCAAAATTGTTTTTTTAATATCTTTTTGGAAGCCTCCTTCAAAATGGGTAAAACTTTTTTTGAAAAATTATAAATGTAATATATTACGCCACAGGGGATAGATATTATATTTGAAAATAGCCAAAGCCTTCAGAAGTCAACTCTGATGAACAATGAAAATAATCAATCTGCATAATACCAATTTTAGTCAAAATGTACTTTGCAGAAAATATATTACGAAACCAAGTGTTATTCTGGATCTGTGTTATTCTCTATTAAGTAGTTTCTTACATTCAAAAAGCATAAGAGACATTTCAAATACTCACTTCCAATTCTACGGAAAGATCCCAGAGACATATCTGTCCATCGTGGCATCCAGTTACGACTGTGGCCCCGTCGTCTGTTAAAAGCACTGCTGAGATGCAATGTGTTGGTGCCCTGCGACCCCAAAGGACGATGGGGAGAACGAGGCTGTTTCCTGCCATTGTGTTTTCAGATCTGGAAATGGTATCAGAATGATGCCAAGTATTATAAGTGCATATGACATACTTCTATTATGAAGGCCGCTTGCACTTCCAAAGCCTAAACCATATATATATAATACATATGTACGCAAAACTACATACCATCTCATTTTTATATTATAAAATCTAATTAAGATCACAATCCTCACACCAAATCACGTAAGTGCTTTTGTCACTCCTCTTTCACAAAGAAAGACACTGACTGAATCATAAGGAGTCACAAAGTGAACAGTGCAGTAATGGAGCTCCAGTGGGAGCCCAGGCAGCCTGACTTCCCATGGTCTCACTCTGCTATGCTGCCCATGACAAGTGAGCTCTCCAATCTTTCCAAGTCTCCAAACTGGTAATACACATCAAGGCCAAGAAACACTCAGCATTGTTTCACAGTTCTCAGCATTAAAAAGAGCACATTCAGTGAGAAACTCATTCAACCATATTTACTACAAACCTATTATGTCTCAAGGTCATGAGTGCCTTTTGCAAACCTTGAGGGAAAATGAATTTCTCTTTCAACTCTTTCCTGCATAATAAAAATTTAGTTCTAGTATAAATACCTAAATACTAGTTCAGAGAAGTCCGAGAGAAATGGAGGCTTGAATAATCAAAGGCTCCACAGAAAACAGAAGACGCCAGGTCTTTTGAGACACTGCAGCGGGGTGGGGAGGTCACCTACAGGCCAGACAGATGGTGAGCCAAAAGAAATGTCACAGCAGTGATTTTTTTCCACCCAAGATTTTTAAGTGACAACAAAAATATGTATATAAACATGAACTCTTTAGAAGGCTGAGACTGTCCTAAGATATTTTTCAATAACACTCAAAGGATAGCCACTTTCTGTAAAAGAAACTAGCTTGGTAGCCACGGTCTTATTGCTAGTTGCTTTTAACAAATGTCTTTTCTTTAAACTACTACCTACACTACTTAAACAAAAAATAAAAACAAAAGACTCTTCAAAAAAAGAATAGTCACTAGAAAATTAGGCAAGTAAAAAAATTATTATTGACATTGGAATGTTTACTAAAAACAATCATATTATATCTTTTATTTTTTGTTAGAATACATGGCTTTCATTCATTTTTTTTCTCCCCAAACTTTATCCTTTTGCTCTAAATAAAAGGTATACATTTTTTAAAAAGTCCAAGTTCAGTTCCTATCAATAAATCCCTGTGTATATCATGTTCTCCATTTCATAAGCTACCATGACACTAATCATTATTTCCATATTCCTATTTGATATCAGAAAATGAAACAAGGCACTGAACCAATTTTAATAAACTTGGTACAGCATGTTGCTGGCTGAGTAACATATCTAACAATGATTTTCTCAAAATGAGAATCTGGAAGGAGCTCATGTTTCCATGGTGACAGCACCCAAAGAAGATGCCTCTCAATTAAACAAGCTCATGGCACCAAACACAACACAGTGAGATCGGGAAAGAACACCGTTTCTCTAAATATCTGAGGACTCATATTCAGTGCACCCTGCCTGGCTTGGAGAGAATGCAAACGTGGAGACTTGGGACTCAGGCATGTGTGTGCTGCAGGGGAATGGGCCCACAACAGGCAGGAACATTCTGGGATTCAGGTGATAGGGCAACTCAAGAGAACCTGGAAGAATAATGCATTGCAGAGCCCTTAAAACAAGTGAAAATAATCACCCATAACATGATAAAGGTATAGCTTCTGTCAATGGAAAACACATGGATCTCTAACTCAGCTTCTCCAGAAGCTAAAATAATTACAAAGATTTAGGAAAAAAGAAATCCCCACCTCCTCATAAAAAAATCAAGAACTGACAGTTAATGAGAATCTGGGAGTTCTCATTAAGGGCAATTAAGGATCTTCATTAGGGACTGGACTAGTTTTCTAGAGCTGCCGTGACTACAAACTGAGTGGCTCAAACAACAGAACTGATTGTCTCACAGTTCTGGAGGCCAGAAGTCTGAAATCAAGGGTAGGGTTGGTTCCATCTGAGGACGGAAGGACCTGTTTCAGGCCGCTCTCCTCAGCTTGCAGAAGGCCACCTTCCGGGCATCCGCCCTGTGTGCACTTCTGCCTCCCACTTTCCCCTTTTATAAGGACATCAATCATACTGGACTAGGACCTTCCTGATGACCACACTGTAGCTTGATTACCTTTATAGAGGCCTAAACAAGGTTATATTCTGAGGTATGGACTTCAACATATGGATTTTAGGGGGAAAAAATTCAACCCATAATAGGAATATATCCTTTTAAAAGAACATAACCTGAAATTAGTTAATGATCCAAAAAGCAACTCCCTTAAGAACTAATGGTAAAAAACTTCACTACATCTTTTCCAGGGGATCACAGTTACCTGCTTATCTGAGAAATAAGGTAAGAAGTTCTGTCTAACCAAGGTAAGGAGTTACCACCTTATGGAGAGAGAGAGAGAGAGAGAGAGTGTTTGGGGGTGGGCGAAGGAGGACCAGAATCCAAAATTCACTGCTGTATTTCCAAGGAAATTAGACTGTAAAAACTAACCTGTCCTCTCTCTCTCTCTCTCTCACACACACACTCTCTAATATATGTATATTTACATATATATCTATCTATACATACATACATATATGCCCTGCTGAAGGTCCTTAAATTGTACACAACATTATTTCTTGGCTGATGTACTAGAACAAGAGCTCTACACAGAAGTGTCTGTTAGGTGAAACATTTAAAAGATAATCATAAAGGATACCTAACATGAAACTGGCATGGGAATCACAACCAATAGCCGATACTGATATATCTCACTGCCGGGATTAGGGAAGTTCCAGTGAAATACAGAAGAAACAGAAACCACTTCTACAAAAAGAATAATCTATCAGAAGGGCTTGGTGACCAGCTGGAGGGTGGTACTGAAAGGCACAGGAGAATAAGCTTTTGGATCTTGGCTAGAGAGAGGAGAACAGAGAGTCTTACTTTATGGGACTCGTGGAGAAATGGACTTCTGGTCTCAGAACACACTTAATATTAACAGGGTATCAAGTCAGGATTGGGGGCAGACTGTGGGGAAATGGGTTTGGGGGGACGTTTAAAGGCTGAAGGCAGAGAAGACAGTAGAGGACGTTTGGGCACTGGGCCTGCCATCCCTCCCGAGCCAAGGACACATGCTTGCTAAGATGCTGCATTAGTTCAAAAATAGGAGGGCTCAGCCTTCACAGAAACTCTAACTTTAGACTAAACTTTTCATTACATGGGAAAAATAAACTCCGTAGTTGTTTAAGGCCATGGTTTTTGAGTTTTGTCACATGTAAACGTACACTATTCCTAATTGCATGTGCAAATACACACTACACACCCAAAGTGTATAAGAAAAATATCCACGGCATAAACGAAGTAGTTAGAAGAATAACAAGAAATTACAGTAAAGGAAAAAGCTTAAGGCCCCTACAAGTAACAGGGGGAGCTTTGTTGGGGGTTAGAAGGGGACAGGGAAACAAATACCAGGGTCCTCCTGTGCCCAGGCCCCTTCACACACTGGCAGAAGGTCATTAAAACTCATCCTTAGTTGGCCAACATGTGGAAGGTTAATTTGACTTAGATGGTTAGGTGGGTCACTGTATAATTTATGTATATTTCAATTTTATACAAGTCCAGCATAAAAAACTAGTCCTGTCTAGTTTATAAGAGAATTCAAGAAATTGACACCCCAAAGGAACACAGTGATGTTTCTTTCCAGCAGGGAAATGTGCTAGTTCTTATTTTCAAGATTCCTTTGATATTCTAGGTCCTCTTAATCTCTATATAAATTTTAAAATCAGCTTGTACATTTCTGCAAAAAAGCCTGCTGTGATCATGATTAGAGCTGCATCAAATCCATGTATCAATTTGGAGAGCACCGGCTTCTCTCATGTTGATGAAACATCACAGGTGCAAAAGTGCATTCTAAATCCAAGGTTACTTCTAAAAGGGATTTAAGGCAAATGTAGCATGTTTAACAGTGGACTCACAGACAGAAGAACTTCACTCAAGTCCTGGCTCTTCTATGCGATCTTGAAAAGGTGACCCCTCCGTGTCTCAGCTTCCCCATCTGTGAAAGAAGGACAGTGACACCCTCCTTTCAGAAAGCTGCCATGGAGATTAAGAGAAGCCAAACATCTAAGACAACTAGTAAAATACCTTGCACATGGTAGGCGCTCAGTAAATATTAATTTAAAGAAAAACACAGATCTTGCTACTTCATATACTGTTTCCACATCTACTGGACTGTTCCAATATGGCCACTTAATAATTGATCAAGTGGGATTTTTCAGCAGGTTAATACCTTTCTGCCACAACATAAGTGTACCACTGTATATATTTGTCAAACACAATTCTATTATCCACAAATATTACAAGTCAGTTCTGCATGACTTAAATAACACTACAAACTCCCTTCCTGATACAGAAATAGCTTTCAAATTAATTTCTGACCTCATAACAATAATTAGTATACATTTTGGAGCAGATTTCCCAAGTTTCCATCGTGTGCCTATACTATGGCATTACAACAAGAGATTAAAAAAAATATGAGGTAACTATCCCGTAGAAGTTACATACGTGCAAACAAGTACCACAGAGTGCATTGCATTAGAAATCTCAAGCGATAAATCCTGGGTTGAGACATAAAAGATGAAATGTCCTAACTTGAGTTCAGTGGGCCCAGGAAAGATTCTCGGAAGAAATGGTGAGCGAGAATGAGTAGGAACTGACCATGGAAGAAGCACATGGAATCACACGTTCTAGGTCCCAGAGGTAAGAGACCTCAAGTCTTTCCGGACAGTGCAACCCGCAGGGCTGGCCTTCAGAGCAAAGGGCAGAATGACAAGGCTGGCGGGTCAACAGGTACAGGACTCGGTGAGCCCTCCTAAGGAATCGGGAGTTCAGCCTGAGAGCAGTGGGAAACAGGCCGAGTTTTATTGATGAAATCTGGCTATCACCACCCAAACAGAGTGACAGGGAAAGGAGGAGGGAGCAAGCACGAAGGGAGGAAAGTGAGAACGTCCGTGCGGCAAAGAGGAACAGAGGCATAATCTGGTCTCGGAGAAATTATAATTCAGAAAACATTTTCGTAACATGGCACCAGAGAATGCACCAAAAAGGGTTCCACATGAACGGCGAAACTTCAGTCGTCCCTCACCTCTATCAGTAAGCCAAGTCACTGCAAAAGTTGGTGAAATATCGTTCTACCTCCTACTGGTTTGTTTTGTTTTTTATATGTAAACAGTTGCAGAAGAAAGGCTTTTGTGGTTGACAAAAAATAATATGGCTTCCTAATCTAGTCATGGAGAGGAGATATAGCTCAGCATCATCCTGTAGATTTGTGTTTTGGGGGACATTTAGATCCACTAGCAACTCTCTCAGGATCACACTGGAAACTGCCCCAGAGCTCAGAGGCACACGCAGGCCTCCTGGTTCCTCACCAACACACGCTCCTCACTGTTCCATATTGTCTTCATTTGCCACAGCACTCCACCCACCAGAAAACTTCATTCTCCTGTCAGTCTGGTTAATCAAGCTTTTACTAGGACACATTCTGCAAAGGAAAGCAGAAGTGCAGGATTTACAGGTGAAATGACATGCTGCCTGGGCTCAGAGGCACTCGAGGGAGGTGAGGGAGAGGAAAGCGGGTAAGAAGCGTTGGTGGGGATGAAGAGGAGACGGATCGGAAGTGTGCGCCCACGTTCTCCTCAGGAATGAAGGACCCACCACCCCAGCTGCTGACAACGCTGGGCTGCCAGCCCCGCGAAGGACCGCCCCAGCCAAGGGGGCAGGCGCCGCTCTCCAGCGGGGACGGCGCACAGCCCAAGGCTCATCTAACCGGGGATGTGCACGCTGGGCCCCCTCTGTCAAGTCAGGGTAGCACGGGCAGGGTCATTCGCTCCTCCTTTAGAGCTCCCCGCAGCGCCAACTGAAATCACACGGAGGCATCGCAGCGCACCTTCCCCTTCACGCCAAACCTGCCTCCTTGCCTTCCTCTCCCCGTGCGTGGAGACTAAGAGTGAACCCCAGTAAATCTGAGCGCTGACCCCCATCTCCAAGTCTGCTCACCGGGGAGCCCCAACTGTGAAAATGATGTTGACGCTCTTCTCAGTACAAGAGTATTCATTACATTATTTGCTTTCATACATTCGAAAATTTCTCTAACAGTCAATGGGTACCGGAAAAGAACTTTTATGTCCAAGAATCAGGGATTAGTAAATTACGATAGAGCCGTACAATGGAACACTGCACCATAAGATATGAAACAATCTCCAAAATATCGAGTGCACCGTACAGTATTTTACGCAGTACAGTGTGTAAAAGGCATTCCCACTTGGGGTTTTAAAAGGGGAGGTACGTATGTATCTATACACATCTATACATACATACATATTCACACATACAACATTTAAAATAATTCCGTAATGATTCCAAAGTTTTTAAAAAGCGGTAATGATGACTACCTCTGAAAAGGGAGAGTTAAGAATGAGACTCCACTAAGTGGGAACCCTAATTCTCAGGATAAATCCTTTGGTCTTAAGTCCCCCCACCCCAGACACACATCTTTGGGTATTGCATTATATTCAAAAAGAGAGTTCAATAAATACAACAATAAATACAATGGCCTTGATTTACCAGATTCTTCTGTTTTTAAAGATTCACATATGCACACAACATGAAGTTTTCAAAAAACGTTGGACCTCAACAAGAATCCACCTTTAACTTACAGTCTTTCCCAACGCTGGTCCCGTTCTGCGGTGAGCGCCCTGCCCCAAAGCCCCGGACCCTCTTTCTCTTGTTTCTGGTACAGCACACTCTCCCAGTTATCGTCTTCCTATTTTTTCAGTTTTCTTGTGCCTAGTTCTATGAGGCCTAGAAAGCCTTAAGAAAAACTCAAGGGACAAAGAAGGGTCTTTCATCCCTGTTTTTTATTAGATTTAGAATATTTTTTTCAGTTGATTGCTCATTTAATAAAAATATGAAGGTGAAATTTTCTTTCCCCTTGTGATTCTCCCCAACCTTTTGTTATGGAAAATTTCAAATACACGAAAAGTTTAAAAAGTAGTATAACAATCACTCAACAAATAATACCTTATCATATTTCCCTTGGCAATATGTATTTATGTATATACATATATATAAACTTTTTCTGAATCATTTGAAAATAACCTACACATATGATGATAATTCACATCTGAATACTTTAAAAATAAGAACATTCTCCTTCAAAAACACAATACTATTATTGTAATCACCATTATCAATACCATAATTCTCTAAGAGTATTTACAATCCATTCTATATTCATATTACTGATTGTCTAAAAAATGTCTTTTATAACTTCTTTTAACCAGTAAATAAAATACTCAAGTTTTATGCACTACATTTGATTTTGCCTTTGTTCATTAGTTCTAGAACAGTCCCCCTTCATTTTTCTTCATATTAACTTTAAAAAAAAAGCAAAACTAATTGTTTGTAGCATGGTCCGCATTTTAGATTTGGCTTATTTTTTTATGATATCATTAACCTTGTTCCTCTGTCTCTTGTTTTGTCTATAAACTGGAAGTTGAATTTCAAGGTGTCATTGGGCTCAAGTGAAACATTTTTGGCAAGACTACTCCGTAGGTGATGACACATGCACACTTCACGCAGCATCACTACATGTTAATGTCACGCAGTCCTACACTATTTGATCAAGGTAGTGACTACCACCTATTCCACCATAACTATTTTTTCCCCTTTAAAACTATCCATAACCTATGGAATGATACTCAGATGAGCCCATCCTGTTCTGCAATATCCCATATAATACGGGTATCCCTTGTGATTTCTAAAAGCTATAAAACAGTTAAGATCACATATGAAAAATCTAGCATCAGATCAATGTTAATTTCTCTACATTGCTTTTCTTTTTTTTTTAATCTTTATTGTTTTTTTACATTACCTTTTAGTTCCCTTGTGCGCCCCCCCCCCCAGCTATCACCACACTGTTGTCCATGTCCATGAGTCCTTTTTCTCTTTTGCTCAATCCCTCCACCCCCTCACCAGCCTCCCACCAGCTGTCATCCTGTTCTCCATACTTGCTTTTCTAACTCTCAAATGCAAAAGTAACAGAATACCTCTGTTTCTATTCCAGGACAGAGGCATTTTCATAGGAGGGTCAATATCATCTTGGTCTGTGTATTTCCTGTGCCCCAGGCAGGCCTCCTGAGACTCGTAGACAAAAACAAACTCTAATTCTCTCTCTTGAGAATAACTGCACGTGAACAAAATGTGACCTACACTATCCATCTATCAACAGGGAATATGAAAAGCAGGGACTACACACTACATAGCTAAATATACTTGCCATAGTTGCAATGAAAGAAGAGAGAAAAATGTTTTATGGTTTATTCAAACTGTCAGAGAACGTTCTAAAATTATTTGTCAAGAGAGTGTGTTCAAGTCAAATTCAGAGTAAAGTGTGATGAATGAAGTGATTGTTAAGATTATGAATTTTCCTTGTGATTGTGCTTTTGCTACCATTTTATTGGAGACGTGGAAAACACTGAATCAGATCATGAAAACAGTTTATTATAATGCAATGAGATAACTAGGTCATAAAATGTCCTGAAGAAATTACTGAGCTGCTGTCTCAGAACAAAGCATTTCTTGAATTAGAGGACTGTGAGGGACACAACCTTCTGAACACAAAACTTGTCACTAAATTGACACGATTATACTTTCTTACATAGTTGGTTAAGAAATCTACATCCAATGAACTGGGCATCTTAGGGCTGCGTTGTAAAAAGAAGTCCCAATATTCAGTTTCCCAAGGACATGTAGAATGAGCAGATGGCAACAGAAGACCACACTTAATTTCTTATTGCTAAGCCAGCCCTGAGCACATGAAAGTCAGATTTTGAAGCACTCTAGAGCTCTCCGGTCAAAAAAGAATGACAGTTTTTAAAATGACTCATAGATTTGGGGGCATAATGAATTGTTTAAAATTTACACAGCTGCCATTAGGACATCTGGACTCTTCTTATGCTCTATCCATTAGGAACCTGCCTTAATCTCAAGAGGTAC